TTTTTATAGAGTATTTAGCATCTTGAAATTGCTTCATAAATTATCTAGATACAACTAATAAATGTTTTGGGAATAAAGAGAGTCATCATTAGTTTATATATAAAGTTAGAACTGAGGCTACTTTAACAGAGAAGGTCAGGGTTAAAACAAAGATCTGAATAATGAATATCCTCTAAAAATTTCACCTATAAGAGTTATCCTTTATAATAATTTTACAAATGCCTTGGAGAAAACATTCTTAATATTTATTTTCTTCAATGTTTCCTCCAGTTTTTATCACAAAGGTCAAAACTTAGGAAAATATAGCTACAAGGTTGACTTTTCCTCAGTTTTTCCAATTTGGTTTCCTTTTTATTTGGTGGTGGTATTTTAAATTTTGTTTGACTTCTTAATTTACATAAGCATGAAAATTTTGGATGGCTGACTTTGACTCTAAAAGACTTTTGATATATTCTTTCCTAAGAGTTGCTAGGATGTATCAAAGGCACACTATAATGCATATAAATGCTGCCCCACACAAAAATGTTGTCCACTGTTCAGCTTCCCCTTTCCCCTATTTCACAGTGCTCTTGGAAGGTATTTGATGGCTTTAGAAAAAAAAGTTGAATTCATACAGTTACATTTACATTAAAAATAAATATGTACTAGTTCTAGTTCATGTGGTCAATTTATATACCTCCTAGTATTGAGTGCATTCAAAGACCCAATCACTTAAAGAAATAATTTCCTTTTAAAAACTCAGCAAATCATGCTTTGCATGGTTTAAATTAGAAAAAAAAAATTTTTCTTGATGAATAATTAAAATCTGGATATTGTTACCAGGAGAAAATAGTACTTTCCATATTTTCCAAATCTGGGAATGTGTGGTTTCGATATGATGTTCATATGCCTTAAAAAGACATCTCATTTTCAGTGGGAAAAAAATGGTGTGTCTAAATCTGTGTGAAATGCCAGCATAAACATAAACACACATTTTAGTATCTTGGGTAACATGTAAACTGCTGAGTGCAAGAGTCTGAGAACTACTGAGATGAACAGTTTTTGTTTAACCACTCCTCCTTCCCCCTATAAACTTTTCTATGTTCTTGACATTTATTAGGGTTCGCATCAGTGTGAATTTGCTTATAGATAATTGTGAAATAAAGTTCTCCACAGATCCTGTACACTTATGGAGCTCCTTTCTGTTATGAATTCTCTGAGTAAAAGGTGCATGTCTTTCATGAGTGGGCATTTCTTCCTAGTTGAGTGCCTCATACCTAAAATCAGAATGTATGCCATGGATTTACAACTGCAAAATCTGATCAGCCCTCCTTGGGGTTGCTCTCCTAGAGAAAAGCAAAGAGAACCCTGAGCTTGGAAAGTGTGAGAACCATACAAAAAGAGTAGGGCTTCCCCATACACACTTGACCTGGCTTACTTATTTGGAAATAAATTTTCGGAATTTTCCTTCTCCTCCTCTGGTCCGTCCTTTGCTAGTGCTTCCTCATCTTCCTAACCTCTAGATGTTGCTCCGGGGCCCCCTCTTGGACTCTCTCTTCCACCTCCACACATTTCCCTGGTGACTTCATTTAGCACCTCACGACTTCAAATACCATCTATTTACTAAAATCTTCAATTTATATTTCTAGTCTATACCTCTCCCTTGATTTCCAGATTTACATATTTCCACTTGGGTGTCTAATGAGACCCTCAAACTTAACATGTCCAAAACTGAACTGGTGATCTCACTTTCCAACTTGCTTCTCCCAGTCTTTCCCAATTTAAAAAAATAACAACTTCATCCTTCTTGCCGCTCTAGTCAAAATTCTTCATTTTTCTGTTTCTTATTTCCCACGTCCAATCCAACAAGTGAATTCTGTTGGCTCTACCTTTAAATATTTTCAGAATCTGGTCACTTTTCAGCCTTTCCACTACTACCATTTTGGTCCAAATTCAATCATCTCTTGTCTAGATCATCGCAATAGCATTCTAATTGGTGTCTGAACTCCCATTCTTGCATCCCTACTCTAAATATAGAAGCCAATGACTCCTCTTCTTACAGAATCAAAGTTAAAGCCCTCACGATGACCTACAAGACCTTCATGATCTGCTCAGTGATGTCATACTCTGCTACTCTTCCCTTATTCATTCCACTCCAGCCTCACTGGCATCTATGCTGCCCCTGGAATATTCCAAGCATACTTATCCTTTAACACTAGCTGTTCCTCTGAGTGGAAACCCTCACCCCCAGATATCCACATACCTTGCTTCCCACACTTTATCAGATCTTCACTCAAATGTCATTTAACAGTGAGGCAGTCATTGGTCACCATAGGTAAAATTATACTTCTTTTTTTTAATCCTCACTCGAGGACATTTTTGCATTTATGTTCAGATAGAGCAGGAGGGAGAGAGGAAGGAAGAAAGAGAGAAACATCGATGTGAGAGAGACACATCGAGTTGTTGCCACCCACACAACCCCAACTGGAGCCGGGGACAAACTGTAACCGAGGTACGTGCCCTTAATGGGAACCGAATCCGAGTCTCTCGGGTCTGCGGGTCAACGCTCTTAACCCCTGAGCCAAACCAGCCAGGGCTAAAATTATATGTCTTGATACTTCCTATTTCTATGCCCTTCTTATTTTTCTCTTTGTACTTATCAACATCTAGCACAGTATATATTTTACTTATTACTCTTGCTTATAGTCTGTCATTCCTCAATAGAATGTAAGCTTCACAAGGGGAGTTTTGTATACGTTTTCACTGGTGTATCTTATGTGCCTAGAACAGTATCTGGCACATAGTTGTCACTCAGTAACTATTTGCTGCATAAACAAATGGATTTTTTTAAAATTAAAAATCAATAAAAGCCACACAATATCATATACCACAATAACAACATGTACTGTGAATATTCATCAATAGTCTATCTTCCTATTTACATAAGAATCTTCTAAAGGCAGAAATGTTATCTTACACCCTTATTCTTAGGGACTAGCATAGAATGTTACATAGACAGCAATTATTCAATTCAATCTTCGACAGCATGAAATTTTGCTTAAAGACAAATCACTAGGAGATAAAAATATAACAAGAGAATAATGATCTAATTCACTGTTAGACTGGCATGTAAGAAAAAAAATGACTCTAAAAGTAGTCTTTTCCCTTCTAATATTTATGAGCAATAGCTTTCAGTGCTAACCAAGGACATCCACTCCAAAAATGATCATAGACTGCCATGAGTCCAGACTTGTTGTCTAGGACAGAAGGTGGAGGAATGGCTCTGGACTAAGCACCCTGGCCACCTCATCTTAGTTTGTCTTTGGGACCAGTACCTGGAATGTTGGAGGTATTTAACAATTTACAATATAGTTCTCTCTTCTATAAAATTGTAATAAGTCTTCAGACTATAAATACATTTATTTTGTCAGTGGAAGCTTTTCAAAGATTCCTAGAGAAATGACAAAGATAGTCATCAACATAACACTGTGAATAATGACAGCAAAGGAATTGAAAGAAGGTGACTGAGCCGATCCAATTTGCACAGAATGCGTACATGAAATACAAACAGGCTATACAATAGTTACACCCAAACAGATTTGCCATACAATTTAGTCCAACACCTAAACTGGATTCACCACATGCTAAAGAAGTACAATGGAAATAAAATGAGAGGAAAATTCGATTTCTCCAAGTATGACTCCTTGGAGAGAAGTGTTTGCTAACCTAACTAATTTCTAGAAAAGCAACAACTGTTACAGGATAAAAAGAGAAATAAATTATTCAAATTCTGACCGAGAATTCTGAGTTCCATTTAAATTATAAAGAGAAATTATGAAAAAGGCAAAAACAAACAAAAAACCCAAACCCTAATTTAAAAAACACAAGCAAAATCACAAAATTATCCTTATTAACCAACATACAAATAATAAATGGTTCTGTTTTATCTACCTAGCAAATGTCTATGACTAAATGTCTAGGTTCACTAAGCAAATCATAATACAATACAAAGCACTTCCTACTATACAAATCCTGTCATTATTATATTTAATCTTAATTATTTTCCATTAAAATTAGCTGATCTAATTATCTATATATCCATAGGTAAGCACGCAGAACATGAAACAATACATTTGGTAGGAAAAACAGAAAGAGTTGCTTTGAGGTTGACATTAATTTCTTTCTTCTTTTTTTTTTTTCCTCACCCGAGGACATTTTTCCATTTTTTTGTTCAGATAGAGCGGGAGGGAGAGACAGGAAGAGAGACAGAGAGAGAGAAAGAGAGAGAGAGAGAGAGACACAGACATCGACGTGAAAGGGACACATCGAGTGGCCACCACCCGCATGACCCAACCAGGGCCAGGAACAAACTGCAATCGAGGTACATGCCCTTAGTGGGAACAGAACCCAGGTCTCTCAGGACAACAGGACAACGATCTAACCACTGAGCCAAACCAACCAGGGCGACATTAATTTCTTCAGTGTGTAACAACTTGTAGGGTTTTCCTGATTTCTCTCTTCTGTCACCCACTCTAACTGGAGTCCTGAATATAACTTACATGAGATACATAAATTTAGCTCAGCTAAATTAGCCTGATCTGACATTACATTATACAGGACAGAATTAGTAGCTGTGTGAACAGGACATAAAACACTCAGTACTAAGTTTCTATACAATACTGGCTCCCCAATGAATCTCACTACTTCAGTAAGATTACCTAATGGTCTTTCAAAATTTAAAGCCAAGCAGTAAACTCAGAAACAACACACTATCCAACTTGTCTAGGGCTGTATAGCAAACTTACAACGCTTAGATAAATTTTACCTCTGTAAAATAACTTTGCTGCCACTTGGTTATAAAAGAACAAAACTTTCTAATCAATGACCTCTAACTCTTGGTTAACATATCAACGTGCTTCCTTAACAGGAAATGTGGGCTGTTTGTTTTATTGTAATATTCAATAACAAGTCTATAAATTACCAGATAAAAGGTAGGAATTTCTTTCCTGTTATTAGCTTACCCAATTTGGCGGCGCCCTCTGGTGGGTACTCAGGAAACTGACCCTCAGAAGGGACACTGACAGTTCTCCTCAGGCATCTTCCTTTGGTAGAGTCCGCCTGCTGCTCCTGGCCTCCCTCCCCAGGGATCTAGTTAACCGCAAGAAAAAGAGATGAAACTTAATAGTGATCTTGCCATAACTACCTTGTGATTGAATAATGTTTTTAGTTAATTAAAGATAGAAGGTTGTAATCATCAAAGCAAAATAGAAGAAACGTAGAAATAAAGTACACAGTGTATACACAGTATTACCAACCCCTTTTCAGGAAGCTCTTCTTTAAAAAGAAAACCTAAAGATCAGGAAGGGTGAGTATGCAAATTAGCTTAGTTGATGTATGTACAAATCATGTCCAGGTGTACTGTTCTGGAAGCTGAAAAAACAAACCAAAACACCCACACAAATAAATTTTTTTACATCGGAAACTGGTTCACAAGCTCCAATGCTGCCCAACACTCAATAAGGTAAATGGAAATAAAAGTCAACCAGAAAGATTTAGCTACATCATTTTCTTTAAAAAAAAAAAGGTTTTGTTACATAAAAGTGGTAAAGTCACCCAATATTTCTTCAATTTTAGAATTAAGCACTTATAGTTAATACATTTTCAGTGAGATTTTACTAATAATTTTTATCAAAATTAACACTAGTATTGGTAACATCTTAAATAGTCTGGCAAAATATATCAGTAATTAATCACAGTTTCTAATTTCTTACAGCTTCAGTATAGAAATTTCAACATTTTTTATAATAATGACTAGCATTGAGTTCTTACCATGTATAGGGCTAAGGAATTTATTTGAGTAACATTATGAGGGAGCCATTATTACCTCCTTTTTACAGAAGAGGAATCATTTATTTTCACAAATGACTGCAGTGAAAACATATCAGATCAACTGATCCAGAAAAACAGAGATACACATGGGTTTGAGTGTCTATGCCCTCTGCTTTGCCTCAGTAATCCAATTCTCATGACTGGGGCAAGAGGGTGATAGCAAGGAAAGTTCTCTCTGTGTTACTGAGAATCTGACGAGCAACGTCCTAATGTCTTCATAATGGGCTGAAAATTATCGCACTCTTTACAGGTCCAAAAATTCACCATTTCCTCATTACCCCATTACCATAATTCTGCTTATTGCTTGTACACTGAAAAACCAAAAGGCAGAATTAACAATGGTAAATTCTAAAAATATAAGAAGATACCAAATAATAACATCAATAAAGACATGAGCTCTTTCAAAAGCACTCTGTAATATAAAACTTCACAAATAGAAATCTAAGTCATCCAACCCTTTCAGGATGAAAATTATATTATCTTTCCTTAAATAATTAAAAGAGTAGCACTGAGAGGTTAAATAACTCTCTTATAGTAAGAGGCAAAAATGTATCCTCTACCTGCCTTAAAAGTAGAAAAGAATAAAGGTTAATCTGGGAGGGGTTGGGGGGGAGAGACAGTTTATATCTTTGAGAAAAAAAAAAATGAACCTAAATAAACACCCATTTTTCTTAAAGTTCTAAAATGCCTATTATCTGAAATAACAAAGGCTCAAGCCAGAGAAAAGGCAGTATCTTTTTTTGTTTTCCTATTTTTTAAAATCTTTATTGTTGAATGTATTACAGATGTTCCTCATATTTTCCCCCATTGACTCCCTCCTCCCCACTCCCGCCTTTTCCCACACTGTTGTCTGTGTCCACTGGTTATGCATATAAGTTCTTTGGTTTATTTCTTCCCACCCCCCAACCCCCTTCTCTTTGAGGTTTGTCAGTCTAGCAACCAATTTGTTCTTCTTAATCCCTTCACCTTTTTCACCCATTCCCCCAACCCCCCTCCCAACAAAATGTTCTCTGAATCTATGAGAATGTTTCTGTTCTGCCTATTCATTTTGTTTGTAGATTCAATTGTCGACAGATATGTATTCATTGCCATTTTGTTTGTTCAAATATTTTATCTTTTTCTTCAAAAAGACCCTTCAACATTTCATATAATAATGGTTTGGTGGGGATGAACTCCTTTAACTTTTTCCTGTCTGGGAAAGTCTTTATATGGCCATTGATTCTACATGACAGCTTTGCAGGATAGAGTAATCTTGGTTGTAGGTTCTTGCTTTTCATCACTCTGTATATTTCTTGCCACTCTCTTCTGGCCTGCAAAGTTTCTTTTGAGAAATCAGCTGACAGTATTATGGGAACTCCTTTGTAGGTGACTAACTGCTTTTCTCTTGCTACTTTTAAGATTCTCTCTTTGTCTTGAACCTTTTGCATTTTGATGATGATGTGTCTTGGTGTGGGCCTCTTGGGGTTCGTCTTGTTTGGCACTCTCTGTGCTTCCTGGACTTGTATGTCTGTTTTCTTCACCAAGTTAGGAAAGTTTCTGACATTATTGTTTCAAACAAGTTTTTGATTTTTTGTTCTCTCTCTTCTCCTTCTGGTACCCCCAAGATGTGAATGTTGGCATGCTTGAAGAGGCTCCTTACACTATCCTCATTTTTTTTGGATTCTTTTTTCTTTTTTGCTGTTCTGATTGGGCATTTTCTGCTTCCTTATAATCCAAATCGATGATTTGCTTCTTGGCTTTACCTACACTACTATTGAATCTGTGTAAAATATTCTTTATTTCAGTTAATGCATCCTTCATTTCTGACTGCTCTTTTTTTTATACTTGAGGCCCTCACTAAGTTCCCTGAGGTGCTCACTAAGTTCACTGAGCATCCTTATAAGTAGTATTTCGAACTCACCATCTGTTAGGTTGCTTGTCTCCATTTTGCTTAGTTCTTTTCCTGGAGATTTTTTCTGTTATTTCATTTGGGACCTGTTTCTTTGTCTCATTTTGGCTGCCTCCCTGTGTTTGTTTCTATGTAGTACTTAACGAGAGGTATAGGGCTAGCTGAGACCAGATGCTGCTTGTTTGAAAGGATTTAGGAAAACCTGAAGCAGGATCCAAGACAGGCCAATCCTATGGTGAAGCAACTGGGTGGGCCTGAAAGTTGGGTGGAGTGGGGCCTCAGGGAATCACCAGGGCAGGGCAACCAGTATAAGCCAGGTTGTTGGAGTCCCAGATATGGCGGCTGTCTGCCACCCCAGGGAAGGGCTCACCAAAGGAACAAAGGCCTCTGACAGCACATCTGTCCCAGAGAAAAACCCCTCTCCAGCCCTCGCTCCAGTGCCAAACAATTCCGTTTTCTGTATGTCTCTGGCGCCCCTTAAGCTGCCTCCCCTCCAAGTTTGGAGGGAGTGAGTCCCAGTAAGTCCATGCGTGGGCCCTTTAAGAGGAGCTGCCTGTTTCGCTTAGGATGATACTTTCCAGGTCCCTCCATGTCATCTCAAAGGATAAGAGATCTTCCTTTCTTACAGGTGCATAGTACTCCATTGTGCATATGTACCGTAAATTTTTTATCCATTCGTCTACTGATGGGCACTTGGGCTGTTTCCAGATCTTAGCTATTATAAATAGTGCTGCTACAAACATGAGGGTACATATATTCTTTCTGATTGGTGTTTCAGGCATCTTAGGGTATATTCCTAGAACTGGGATCACTGGGTCAAATGGAAGTTCAATTTTTAATTTTTTGAGATGTGTGCATGAACAATGGACATGAACAACAAAGCTAGGGACAGGGCAGGGAGGGAGGAGGAGAGGGGAATCAGTGGGGGGAAAAGGAGAAACATCTGTAACAAAAATAAATAAATTAATTAATTAAATTAAAAAAATGTGTACTACAAAAAAATAAAATAAATAAATAAAAAGAGGAGCTGCCTGGGGCTCCAGCCGCCTCAGCCTCCAAGAGCCTCAGTTCCCGCTGGTTTTTCCAGCCAGAAGTGATGGGGATTCTCTTCCTGGCACAGGAACCCTGAGCGGGGCGCCTGGTGTGGGACGGGGAACCTCAGTGCTCAGGGAGGACCGTCCCAGCCGAGGTGTCCTCCTGATTTTTATCCGCCACACGTGGGTGTGGGACCAGCCCGTCCCCTCCGCACCTCCTACCAGTCTCGATGTGGCTGCTGCTTTAATTCCGTAGTTGTAGGACTTCCATTCAGCTCAATGTTAGGCGGTTTTGAATGATGGTTGTTCTGTAGTTTAATTGTAACTTTGATGTGGTTGTGGGAGGACGCGATACCACGTTTACCTACCCGCCATCCTGACCGGAAGTCCCTATTTTAATGACCTATGGATCTTTTCTGTGGAAATTTATAAAGGTTATATATATTTTTTTAAAGTAAGAATTAGCTTCTATTATCATATACTTTGTCTCTACTATGTCTGAGGATAGGATAAATAAAATATATCAAACTTCTTATTTGGGCCTAAAATTCACTCACAATTATTTTCTCAACGTTTTCATGTAGACTTTTTGTTTCCCACTATTGTAACTTAAAATATAACCAAAGGTTTCATTCAAAGTATCACTTACAGGTTGGTGTATTTCATCTCTGACTTGGGATATGTGGGAGAATAGTGTTGACATTTATTCTAAACCTGCATTTCTTGTGAATATTTTACTTTTCTACACTATAGATTGATTCTTACCTAAAATCTTTTTAAAAAGATACCAAAAATTAGAGGGATCATATTTCAGGTATTTTCAAACTAAGCTGGAATTCACCAATCTTTGTACACAGCCAGAGAGAATCAGTTTTAGTAAGTCAATTTTAGAAAAGCAATTTTGTCCGTTGTAATTGCCCTAATTTAGTTTACTAGTTCATATTCATTGTTTATACTGAATTACTCTTTAAATTTTGTACATCTTCTAGGTTCTATAACATGAGAGGAATTTTTTAAACCTGTTTGGCCTTGTTCTGTGCCCCTGAGTCTAATTTTTCCCCAGGTTAAAAAAACAAAACAAAAATCAAGCACTTTAATTCATTCCATTTAAGATGAAGAAAATGGAACAGAGTAATGAGTAAATGGCTTCTCAGGCATCTATGATATATTAATAACAAAGTCAAACGGAATCTCTGACTCCTAGTCCTGTTAGTTCCAAACCACCCATGATAATGGACGAGCAACATGTACAAACAAATCAAGTTATACTTGGAAAATATATACATATACCTCATATTTTCTATAAATTGCCTTTCTTTTTGTTTAGAATTATATAG